CTTCTGAAGCTTTTTTAGTCTGCTTTGTATGTGTGGAAAATCACAAGACCCATTCTGACATAGTATTTTACAAAGACTTACGGAGCGTGGGGGGCACTACTCACTGTTATTATTAGGGGTGGGAATCACCTGAGGCCCCACGATATGATATTATCAGGACACCTACATCACCATACAGTATATTGTGATTTTAAAAGTTTTGCAATATGTTGAGTATTGGGATAAATTATACTGCAATTTATTACCTTTATTCAAACTGTTAAGTCTACCACCAAAGGGAAACTTTATTAAAAATTGTTCCATCTAATAAGATAAAGCTTTCGGTCTGTTCGTCTTACTTCATTTTCATGGCTGCAAAATCTATCCAGTGGACTGCAAACTGCATTGCCCCCTAAAATATTGCAATACTATGCTGTATCAATTTTTCCATCACACCTTATTTATTAACCTCTTCAACACCACTGACCTGCCAGTGGCCTTGTCTTTACAAACCCATGCTGTGCAGTTAAACGCACTAACCCACGCAGCTTTATTTGAACTCCTGGTGGAGATCCTAAAGTTTCTAATGACACCAAATACATCAGACTGAATTTGGGAGAACGTGAATAAAATTATGCTCAAGAATCATTTCCGTTTGCTGGAATGGTGCAGCCAGCCGTCTTTGCCCCAGTCACTGAATATTATCAATATATACAGTAAGGACATGCCAGAAGTACACCTATCATAAACAATCCAAACACTAGTTCACAGTTTATCCTTTTCAGCCATGTATAATATTCCTATAATATCTCTGTGTGGACTTAGAACAACCGTGGTATTGTTTAATAATTTATAACTTGTGATTTTACACAAGTATTTTAGGAAGTGAACAAGAACACGAGAGCAGGACTACAGCGAGGGCTCAACATATGAACTTCATCTCTCTGTTGCCCAGGTTCTCGCATATTTCCTGCACCAACTAAAAATACTGTCTGTCATTAAAAGTCACTTCCAGTGATAAACTTGCCCCCCTATGCAAACACTCCCATAAACACATAGGTGTCAAAATAACAAAGCAGTAGGAGGTGCCCATCCACCCTATGTGTGGTTTTGTAGATTTAGAGATGCATTGTCCCTATAGACGCCTTCAAGGCCCTGAAATTGTGGCAACTAGTGAAGGAAATTTTTGGTATATCCATCCTGTTTCATGGTCAGCAGGTTGAGCAGAACCCAAGAAGAAGTGGTCAGTGACCAGTATGGAGATTTCAATATTGCACCTCTGCTGTTGTTTGAGGTTAAGCCAGTGTTTCAGTACACCAGATTGTCGTGGTAGAGGAGTCTGAAGGTACAGATTCCAATTTCATCTATCTAACCTCCAGACCCCACTTATGATCATGAGCTCTGTGTCCTGACTGAATATATTAGACTGCAGATTAGGAATGTCAGTTTCAATTAATTTTGCTTTTGAAAGGCCTACACCCATTAAAGGCCCAGTGTGTAAAATGGGTTGAAAACCGTTGAAAACAGTGACATCAGTGGTCAAATTCTAGATTGCAGGGCTCACTCGCTCACCCCTCCCTTTGGGTAAATGACAGTGGCCTCGTAGGGACAAAAAGCCTTGCGCACGACTTTTTCAGGAGTAGGTCTATCTAGCGACGACGTGAATGTTTATTTAGAAATCTAAGCCATGTTACGATATTGTAATGAATCCCTCACGAGCAGGAGACCAGAGGAGCGTTCGGGAAAAAGGCCCGTTTATTTGAGCACTCCAGAAACTCTGGCAACACTCCAGGGGGTAAAAGACTCCGTCCCAAACTCTGACTCTTCTAGCGTAACAGACACACTTCATAACTTTATACACATACTCGTTTACGATACTAAGTGGGGACCCCCCTCCCCTCTCTGCTCCGCCAATCTCCAGCCCGCACACTGACTGACAGCGTAGCCGGTAAACAGTGCTCAGCTGTTTATTTAGCCTAGCAATATCTCCGGACTATAGTAGCTGCAATGGACGACTTTGAACGCGATTTTGAAGAGTTTCTTGTAGCGGACACAGACCCAGAGCCATACCTGTTTGAGCCGGAGCATACAGATGAGGAACTCCATGTGTTTGATGCTGAGCGGGTGAGAAGAAAGGCTGAATGCACAGAATGGGATTGGGAATGGGAGATATATCATCAGGAGGAAAAGCGCCGCAGAGAGTGCATCACAAGGAGTGAACTTGCGTCTTCTTTTCCTCGCAGATGACGGTTCGGGTTCATTCTCTCCTGTTGCGTGGTAAGTGTGGTCCATTCGCAAACTTTATAACTAAAAAAACTTTTCACTACTCTCTATCGACGAACTACTAACACTCTCTGCTGTTTCTTCCTCCTTCTTCTTTCCTTCCGCTGTCTTCGTTGGTTCATTTATACACACGAAACGCGTTCTCTGGCTGGCTGGATTGTCCGCTCGGTCTGCCATACATACATGGCGGCGCAAGATGGCGACCTCTCTAAAGCAAGGCCCTTGATATATATATATATATATATAAAAGCATAATTATAAGGCTACGAAAACCAAACAAATTTTTATTTTATAGCGATCATACACTTGTATAAACATATTAATGGGTAGAATATTCAGATTCAGATTCAGACTGACAATAAACCATGCCAAATATTACACACTGGCCCTTTAACTGGTAACTAACCAGGAATTTAAAAAAGCAAACAAACAAACAAAAAAAAAACGTGAAATACAAGAGACGTTTCCTTTTAGTCCGTCGCTCCTTTGAGTCAGTAAGCTTTAGCATCCCATTTCGAAGTGCTATCCATTCAGAGATGGTGAAATTTTAATGTTTCATAATGTAAATGTTTTGCCCTTTATTTTATTTTCTGTTGGCTTTGATGACAGATACATATACACATTACATGTGGAAACATGCCCAGTGCCCACACTCTGGTCACCACCCAAGTCAGAAGGAAGCTAACATTAGCTAGCGGCACTGTTCAGTTTGTGATTACGACTGGTAATGCCGAACGCATTGCTGCGGACACATTGTGCCCACCTTCTGGTCCCTCCTCAGGTCGCCCTGGTGAGTAAGTGGCTTTATTTTGAACAGCAAAACCCTCCTAGCATTGTTTACTATGTTAGCACCACTAGCCATGCTGCCACTGCTAACAGTGATAATATAGTCAACAATGCTAAAGGGGGTTTTACAGCCCAAAATTAAGCCGCTTACTCACCAGGGCAAGCTGGGTGGAGACTGGAGGGTGGGCACAATATTTCCACAGCAACACTGTTAGGTTGGGACCATAGATGTATTAAGGGATGGCCTTACTCGTGGTAATGGCCGAATGAGCAGCACTGCTAACTAGCTAGCTCCTACCAGACTGGGTGGTGCGCAGAGCAGTAAACTGAACTAATAAAATTAACCTATAGACTAACATGTAAATGGTAAAAAATATTTTTGGTTAACTGATTATGGTTTATCGTTGACATTCCCACTGTGGATAAAAGCTTTCAAAATGAGAGAAGTTCCCGTCAAACTCGTGCTGTCCCCAAAGGTGAGTCTTTAGGCTGGAAGGAAGCTTGGAGAGAACCAGTGCTCCTTCATGTTGAAAGGAGCAAAATGAAGTGGTTTGGGCATATGATTTGGATGCCTTCCTGTGGAGGTACTCTGGTCTGCAAACCCCAAGGAGGAGCTGGAGGACATCGTTGGGGAGAAGAACTTCTGGGCTACCTTGCTTACAATGCTGTCAGTGGACCCACAACCAGATCAGTGGTGGAGAATATATGGATGGTGTATAATAGCAGTAACCAATTGAATGACCACTGAAAGACCAACATCTTCAAGAAGCACCGAAGCATAGAAACCCATATTTAACTATCCTGTCAATGACAAAATCAAGTGACTAAAGACTAATCACAAGAAATGTTGAAGGTTAATGTTTGAAAGATGGAGCCAAATTATTTTCATTTGACTACAAAGAAAAGTCTTCATCCATGAGGAAACTGATCTTTGGAGGTGTTTAAGGAATGAGCAAAGGGCTATCTTCCTTAAGACATCCACTAAATTAGATATTTTACAGTACATTACCCCCAAATCTGTCTTTCACATTTTTGCAAAGTACTCCTGAATTGTGACAAGAACTGTCCTGCTGAGGAGCGAACGTCATGCGCACTTAAACAAAAATGCAAAACAATCCTGGATCCTTTCAATATACACTAAAGGGGAATAACACTTTGGCAGAATTTCCACAGGGGAAAGCTGGATGTTCCCATGGGCCATTTTCTTTAGGAAGTGCAGGCTTAAGGTTTACTGCTTTTGTCTCAGTGGAACTATTTTTCACAGGGACCTCTCTTTGGGGTCAGGAATGGAGGAAAGAGGGCTTAAATGACCTGAGACTTACCTCAGGGCATTATGGTACCCTGGGCAGAGCGGGGAGTAGGAACCAGGGTTTTGACACAAATGTGTGATATTTCTCTTAAAGTGCCCCCCACAAAGCTCAAGACAGTTATAGCCGTGGGCAAGTGGAATAACAGGGCGCCAGTTCGAGAAAAACAAGGTCTGTTTTGGTTTGACAGTGCTCCCAGTATTTGACATCCTTTAGAGATGCTCGAGAATAAAAGTATACAAATACCATGAGGGAGAGGTGCTAATAATGGATACAGGTGAAAGGACACACACAAAAAGTGGCAGTAACTCACACAACGTATCACATTAACTGTGCATATAAAGCATGAGCATATAGGGTATTATTACATTTATAAATTTCATGGTGCACAAGAATGTCCATCAAAAAAAAGAAGTAAAAAGGAACAAGATGTATAGGTCAAGATTGGTGCAAATCAAATTCCTTAGAACGCAGTTCATCAAAGTCATCCTCATTTGCCGATTCATGAGATCAGATTCAGATATTTAAAAGCGTGAAAAGCTTTTCTGATAGTAATTCAGTCTCTTTTTACATGTGAGTGTGTTCATGTGTGCACACATCAAATGCCTCTATCCAGTGACAGTAAAGAATAAAATGCATTTTTACCTATCATGGGTTCGCATGAAGTCCCAGGATTTCTTTGTGCCATTCTGTGAGGGAATAAGACAAAATAAACAGCATAAGCATAAATAATAAAAGCACCATTAATTTAATTCTCACACACTTGAGTAAAACTATAGTACATGCAAAAAGTGGGCAAATAGTGGGTATTTAGTATGCTCCAACTTCTCACTCCCTGTGTTGTATGTGACTTGTATGGCAGGAAGTTAGACCTCTGCTGATTTATTTATTTAATATGATTTCTATAGAAGCAATCAGCTGCCCCACAACTGATGCTTGCTTGGGCACGCTGAAGTAACATCACAACCCACACCCAACAAAAACATTTGCAGATGCAGATCAAAAAGCACTGGGCCTGCACCTATCAACGGTAATTCAGCAAAAAGTCATAATAGTTACTGGAACAACTTTGCTGAAGAATTTGCTATGTGTGTTCCTTATCAAATATAAAGCTAATTTTACTGTGGATGCCAAATTCAATACACAACTTACAGCAAATACTGACAACAATGTGCTGTCTGTCTGTGTCAGAAATTGGCAGCTTAGGGCAAAATGTCAGGAACGTCCTGTGAGTTTTAACTGAGAAAAAAAAAACCTTTTTGTCTTGTTAATGTCCTAATATTTATTGATTTATATTTACAGGCCCCTATAGACTAGTGTGGGTGATTTTTTGGGAGTGACTGTTTGTGCATCTCAGTCAGAAAAGAATCCACAGCCCACACTGCTTGACTTAGTTTCAAGGAGAGATTCCTGATGACTAAATACTAAAACATGTCCTGTAGTTACTAAACTTCAATGACAACAGTTTGTGTAGCTGAGTGTTTATATGCCCAGCGGTCACATCATCACATCAACAGGACATGTCGTGCAGCTGAACACTCCTTCAGTAAATTTCCAGCAGCTCGATTCCAATCAAACCACCGAGACAGGTGTGACCAGCACAAAAGAGACACCATCACAACACACTGTCTGATTGTTGGCTCATTACTTTCAAGTAAGTGTTAGGAGACAATGACGCAAAAAGTGACGGTAGTGTAGTTCCTTTTGAGGTTATTTTCATTCATACAAGGTGAAGCGAGGAAAGGTGTTGGCAGTTTTACTGTGAAGTCAATACATAGATCGGTAAAATCAGTAAATCAAAGAGCAGTTACAGTGAACAGGTGAGATGAGGAGCTGCAGGTGAGGTCAGGTAAGTAACACCTTTAAGCCATTCAATATAATTGACTTCTATGTTCTATCATTCACATTAATTCAGCAAAGATGTGTGAATTAAACTGAAAACGTAGCATATATTTCTGTCTTCACATCGCATGCTGTATAAATATGGTAAAGTCGGCCTACATTTTCAATGCCTGAGGAAATATGGCCTTGATTCAAATTTAGGCTACACCTCCTCTCCACCCACAAGCTCTTTCAGACGCAGGGATGACAGCTGTACTAGAACAGGCTTATTTCAGCTACAATAGATGTGCCTTCCTCTTTTGTGTGTGTGCGAGTGTGGCAGTGCAGTTTCAGAACCACCCAAGAAACGAGAGGAGCAGAAATGGCAAACTAATTGCACTGATAGAATTAGACATAATAAAGCTACTGTTGTGGCAACAGGGTTTGAGTTAGGATGTGCCACTGTGTGAGATGTACTTAAGTGCAACTTTGAGATTTCGATCTAAAACAGGAATAAACCAACATACATCTTAAAATGCTACTGACTGATTTGAGTGATTGAAGAGAGTGTGGGGGTTGTGTCCTTTCTCACAAGACTTAATCCTAAATATTCTCACTTTCATTCTCAGTGGTATGAATTTGGCTGACAGGATATGCCTGATGAGGTGATGTACATAGGGATGCACATAGTCAAAATTTTCTGAGCTCATACAATATCGATTTTTGAAATAAAACTAAAAAAAAAGCCGATAATCTTTATCATATAAAAATACTAAACTGTTTTAAAGTCATTCAGCCCTTTATTACCCTGGCTCTGTTTACCATATATAATATTATGTAATTCCCTCTCTAACATCCACTTTATATTGCTGTGCAAACAAACACCAAACAGCTGGATTTATTCAAGTTTCTTGCCAGAAACTTTATTTTACAAGATTACATTTGAACACATCATGATAACACTTTAATTTGCCTTTGCCCAACACTTATTTAAACTGAATAGAGCTTGAATGCATCATAATGTTACTCAATAAAACCTTCAGTAGTATTTAGTTCCTTCTACTGATTGCTAACAGCTAATGCAACTAGCTCTCTTCTGTCAATGTTGTTTACAATGTAGCATTACCAGGGAAACAATAGGGTGTTTTCCCCGTTTTTTAGCCTGTGCAAAACTGCGATCACTGAATGTGATCTTATCAGCCAATAGGCCTAAGACAGTCAACAAGGCGAATATCGGCCGATATAAAATGGGTGCGTTCCTTAGATGTACAGTACAGGCCAAAAGTTTGGACACACCTTCTCATTCAATGCGTTTTCTTTATTTTCATGACTATTTACATTGTAGATTCTCACTGAAGGCATCAAAACTATGAATGAACACATGTGGAGTTATGTACTTAACAAAAAAAGGTGAAATAACTGAAAACATGTTTTATATTCTAGTTTCTTCAAAATAGCCACCCTTTGCTCTGATTACTGCTTTGCACACTCTTGGCATTCTCTCCATGAGCTTCAAGACGTAGTCACCTGAAATGGTTTCCACTTCACAGGTGTGCCTTATCAGGGTTAATTAGTGGAATTTCTTGCTTTATCAATGGGGTTGGGACCATCAGTTGTGTTGTGCAGAAGTCAGGTTAATACACAGCCGACAGCCCTATTGGACAACTGTTAAAATTCATATTATGGCAAGAACCAATCAGCTAACTAAAGAAAAACAAGTGGCCATCATTACTTTAAGAAATGAAGGTCAGTCAGTCCGGAAAATTGCAAAAACTTTAAATGTGTCCCCAAGTGGAGTCGCAAAAACCATCAAGCGCTACAACGAAACTGGCACACATGAGGACCGACCCAGGAAAGGAAGACCAAGAGTCACCTCTGCTTCTGAGGATAAGTTCATCCGAGTCACCAGCCTCAGAAATCGCAAGTTAACAGCAGCTCAGATCAGAGACCAGATGAATGCCACACAGAGTTCTAGCAGCAGACCCATCTCTAGAACAACTGTTAAGAGGAGACTGTGCCAATCAGGCCTTCATGGTCAAATAGCTGCTAGGAAACCACTGCTAAGGAGAGGCAACAAGCAGAAGAGATTTGTTTGGGCCAAGAAACACAAGGAATGGACATTAGACCAGTGGAAATCTGTGCTTTGGTCTGATGAGTCCAAATTTGAGATCTTTGGTTCCAACCGCCGTGTCTTTGTGAGACGCAGAAAAGGTGAACGGATGGATTCCACATGCCTGGTTCCCACTGTGAAGCATGGAGGAGGAGGTGTGATGGTGTGGGGGTGTTTTGCTGGTGACACTGTTGGAGATTTATTCAAAATTGAAGGCACACTGAACCAGCATGGCTACCACAGCATCCTGCAGCGACATGCCATCCCATCCGGTTTGCGTTTAGTTGGACCATCATTTATTTTTCAACAGGACAATGACCCCAAACACACCTCCAGGCTGTGTAAGGGCTATTTGACCAAGAAGGAGAGTGATGGAGTGCTGCGGCAGATGACCTGGCCTCCACAGTCACCAGACCTGAACCCAATCGAGATGGTTTGGGGTGAGCTGGACCGCAGAGTGAAGGCAAAGGGGCCAACAAGTGCTAAACACCTCTGGGAACTCCTTCAAGACTGTTGGAAAACCATTTCAGGTGACTACCTCTTGAAGCTCATGGAGAGAATGCCAAGAGTGTGCAAAGCAGTAATCAGAGCAAAGGGTGGCTATTTTGAAGAAACTAGAATATAAAACATGTTTTCAGTTATTTCACCTTTTTTTGTTAAGTACATAACTCCACATGTGTTCATTCATAGTTTTGATGCCTTCAGTGAGAATCTACAATGTAAATAGTCATGAAAATAAAGAAAACGCATTGAATGAGAAGGTGTGTCCAAACTTTTGGCCTGTACTGTATGTTGCAAAAACATTTCATAAACACCTGTGCAACACTATAGCTCCCTGTGACCTCAGAACACGCTTAAGTTAAATAAAGTCCTACAAAAAGTGAGAATTAAAGCACACTTCGTCTAAGTTTCAAAATACAGAGTTTATTTCAGGGCAACTTCCTTACGTAAACCTCAGATACATCGGACATGATGGACCTGTGACCCTGGGTTCCTTCTACCCATAACAGGCTAACCTGCATTTTATACGATTAATTAGCTAATGAAGTGGCATTTTCAACTGGATATAACAGAGATGATAGTGACATAATCCTGAAGAATACACTACAATGCTGTATTTACTCATCCATAAAATATAATCTAATTCATACTTTCAGTCAAGCGTCTATATACCATACAGTTTGTGTAAAGAAACAAAAAAATATTCAGCTTTTAAGAAGTCCTCAATATCATCTTAACAAATGGTCAAATGACCAGTGCATGACCTAACAGGTCATGACCACAGGGCCTCAGTGTGAAGCCAAGCTAACATAAAGCCATTCATGGATCATTAACAATCATGTTGTGATGTGAAATGAGAGCACGGAGCCAAAGTTTGTGTAGGTTTAGGTTTACTTATGGTGTTGCTATGGTGTCACCTGTATCTACTGCAACAGCTATTTTATCAGGTCTATGATAAAGACTTAGTGTATGCACATTTCAATACTGAGCTCAGATCATCCTGAAAAAAAACTGACTTGAATTTAAAAAATCTTTGCAATAACTTATAGCACATATCTATCAATGCAGCAAATTCTACTTTACCTATGCACCTAAAATAAACAGACAGAAGAACAATCACCATAAAACTTTGATAACTGATTAATCATATAAGTCAAGCAACAATACAAAGTACTGACTGATTTCATCCTCTCCACTCTCATGATCTAGAGCTATGAGCAGGCCAAAAAAATCAGGCCACGGCAGCAATTTTGCGAC